ATGGGAGCCCACCCATGAATGGGAGCCTGTTCTACTTGGCAGGGCCTAGCTGGGCTGGGCGGCCTGGTGTTGGCCTGTAGGGGTTGAGAAGATGCTAACAGTCAGTAATGAAAGTCCACTTGAAAGATTTCCCACCATTTTCAAAACCATATGTATGTCATATAACACCTCCAGTGAGAACCTCTGTGGGACCAGAAGTCTTTCATGGGACACTCCCCTGCGGCAGCAGAGCTTATGAGAAACTTGACTCCCAATGGTGATAAGAGAGGCTTTGAGGGAGGCAGTCTTTCCTTCATTTGCTCAATCAGCAGACAAATACTTACCTAGCCCGCACCTTGCACTGTGAGGGAGACGACATCTTCACAGGCAAGGGATCTGTGGGCTTCTCATAGGGAGAAGGCAACAACCAAGAAGGAAGATGGAGAAGCAAGCCGCCTCTCTGCCTGGCCTGCAAAGGCTGATTTGGGCAAGAAACAAGGCCACGACCAACTTTCCTGAGGGGGCAGGGACTTCACAGAAGGATACAGGGTGAAGTCAGAAGGCCTAGGAAACTCTACAGCAGCCACACGGCAGAACCCCCTGAAAACCTGGAGGCTTAAGGGAGAGACCTGCTGCTCCGTGATCCTGGCGTTTTGAACACAGGTCCTCACATCTATCTTAGCTGTTCAAAACTCAACTCAAGCTTTGGACTACATAGCACTTACTATATGCCACTTGATATGCATTATCTCATTGGCTCCCCGCATGCACTGTCCTATAATTCAATAATATTCCATTTTAGAGATGAGAAAACTGAGGCACAGAGAGGTGAAGTGATATGTCTGGAGATCACACTGTTAGTAAGTGATGGAGCTGGCCTGGACCCATGCTGAGTGGTTCTAAAGCTGTACACCACACAGTAGCCCTTCTCTACAGTGACCCCCATCTGTAGGGTCAACACCTTGTGATCCAAATCACAATTTCATTTGTTCAACCCATGTGTATTGAATGCCTCCATATGTCAGGTATTGTACTAGGTACTTGGAAAGCAGCAGTTAACAGGCTGAGTCCCCGCTGCCACAGAGTTCAGAGGGTAAGGGGAAAGAGGAATCAAGAAAAAATTACAACATATAATGTGCCTGGGAGTGAGAAATGCTAAGAAGAAAAGTGAAGCAGCATAGTGGACAGAAGTGAGAGTGTTGGGGTTTTCATTTTTTTAAATAGATTACTCAGACAAGGACTGTTTGAAGTGGTGACATCCAGGTGGAGACTTGAATGGAAAAAGGTGAAGCCATGCAGGTATCTGGGGAAAGAACATTCCAGGGATAGGAGAGACCATGCACAAAGGGCAGGCCTGAGGCAGGATTGTCCTTGGCGTATTTTATGAATAGCAAGGAGCCTAGTCTGGAGCGGGTAAGGCAGAAAGCAGTAAGATATGAGAGCAGAAAGACAATGGAGGCCCAGAGGAGATAGGACCCCATTACAGACTTTAGATTTGATTCCAAGTGACATGGGAAGTTGTCAGAGAGTTTTGAACAGAAGAGTTCTAGGGTGTGACTTTCATTTTAATGCTATCATTCTGATTGCCCTCCTAAGAACAGATGGAAGGGGAGGAAGGGAAGAAGCAATGAGACCAATTAGGAGGCAACTATAACAATTATGGGGGGGAGATGACAGCTTCTAGGACCCAGGTGATAGCAGTGGAAGTGAGGGGACATGGTCAGATATCGAACATTTTGAAGATACAACCTACACAGTTTCCAAAAGGATTGGAGGTGGGGTGTGAGACAAAGAGAGGTGTTAAGCATGACTTCAAGGAATTGGAAGGATTCAGCTGCCATTTATTGAGGTGGGAAAGGCTGTGGGCAGAGCAGGTTGAGGGGGAAATTAAGAGTTCAGTTTGGGAGCTATTTTGTTTGAGTTTCCTATTAGACATGCTAAGTGAAGATCAAGTAGGCAGGTAGATGGGCAGGTCTGAAATACATTCTGGGTTGCAGATATGCATTTGGAATTGATCAACATATAGATGGCATTTAAGACCAAGAGAGTGAGTGTAGATAGAAAAAAGGAGTTGTCGGGTACCTGAGAACTGGTGCCCCGAAATGTTTAGAAGTTGAAGAGAGGAGGATATCTAGCAAAGGAGACTGGGAAGGACTAGCAACCAGGGAGATAGGAGGAAAACCAAGAAAGCGTAATTTTGTGGACTGACTGCAAGTGAAGGAGGTATTTCCAGGAGGAGGGAGCAATCTTCTGCAGCAAATGTTGTGATAGGTCAAATCAGATGAGGACGGATAGGGGACTATTGGATTTGGAAAGCGGAGGTCACTGGGTAACTTTGATAAGAGTGATTTCAAGGAGTGATGAGGTTGAAAGCATGAGTGGAATGGAGTCTAGAGAGCATGAGAGGAAAGGACGCAGTATGCAGAAATACCACTTTGGAGTTTTGCTGCAGAACGAAGCAGAGAAATGGGGCAATAGGCCAAGAGTTTTATCCCAGTTTTGGTTTTATCCCAGCTTGGGTTTTGCCAGGCAAGTAGCAAGAGGAAGTGACACCGTGGCTCGATGGTGCTTGCAAGGGATTATAATGAATCCAAGCCAACGCGTTCAGAAATAAATCAGTCAAAGAGCCAAAGTCAGTATACTTGCCTGCGTATTAAGTGCCAGGGATTTTGACCCTTCCAAAGAGCTAATTAGATCTTCTGAATCCCACACACCATATTTCTCACCTCTTACCACATGTCAATCCCCCGAATGATTCAAGACCACGGCCATTCCTGCTCCTGTTATGATTTTTCAGCACACTCTTAGACATCACCTCCTCTCGTCCCCTCCTGCCCATTTTAACAGCAAGCTCCACATCATTTCCTTTAGTATCTGCTGCTACCCCATGCCCTTCCACATGTTTATTTAACCCACAAGATTCTCTGAGAAAACCACATTGCTTGACTGTAAAAGTAATTTCTAAGAAAGAAGTAAATTCTGCAAAGATGAATATATCAGATACACATCAACTCCCTCTGCAGATCCAAAGAGCAAAGCCAGAATGATGGCATCTGGAGACAGGGGATCTCTTTGCCCACAGGCAGAGGCCCCACTTGTCTACTTTACACAAAGGCCCCCAGTTGGAGGTATGCATGTCTTCCAGGGAGAGCAAGACACTGAACGTGTGCACTCGGCAACACCAACAAAGAGCTCTTGAAATCTACCACACCCTGATCTGTTTCCTAATTTTTCAAAAAGGTAAAGGGAGCCATATTGAGTCACATCCAGCTGGCAAGGATGACTTCTCCATTAGGCACAGGAGGCACAGTGCCTAGGGCTCATTAATATTTTTAGAGGTCCACAAAAATGTTTTAAAATCAGAAGAAAAAATGAATATGATAATGATACTGAATCTATTTAAAACATGAACCCAGGCTGGATTTGTTCATCTTTATACCGATACAGTCAAGTCATAAAATGTAACTTTTTATGTATTTACGGAGGAAGGAGGTCCCTGAAGACAAAAGTTTTTGATGTGCACATTTTGTCTTAGCTCTTTTTTAAATTAGCCAGGTGTGGTGGCGCATGCCTGTAATTCTAGCTACTTGCGAGGCTGAGGCGGGAAAATTTCATGAGTCCAGCAATTTGTGGCTGCAGTGAGCTATCATCGTGCCACCACATTCCAGTCTGGGCAACAGAGTGAGACCCTGTCTCTAAAAAACAGAAGAAGAAAAATACTGATAATGGTAACAGTGAATAGTTGTGGAGCTGTCATTCAGTGTTGAGCAATGAACCCAGCATTTAACATGATTAAGGAAATAATAAAAAAGGTGACCTAATTTGATTAAACAGCACCCATGTTTACATTGAACTTCTTTTATTCCTGTAGCTTTACTTTTTTTTTTTTCTTTTGAGACAGAGTCTTGCTTTGTCACTCAGGCTGGTGTACAGTGTTACTCTGCAGGCCTCAACCCCCAGGATCAAGTGATCCTCCTGCCTCAGCTTCCTGAGTAGCTGGAGATACAGGTATGAGCCACTACACCTGAATAATTTTTTTTTTTTTTTTTTTTGTAGAGACAGGGTCTCACTACATTGGCCTGGCTGGTCTTAAACTCCTGGCCTCAAGTGATCCTCCTGTCTTGGCCTCCCAAAGTGCTGGGATTACAGGTGTGAACCATCACACCTGGCCAGCTTCAATTTTAAAACTTTTCAAAACTGCCTCTCTACAACTGGAAACACTCTATTTATGGAAATAAATTATATAAAATACAAATATTATCAACATTTTAAAACTATCATAACACATTTCTGTTCTGCTGGTTTATTCAACAAGATTCTGATCTACGTTTTCGTCTTTTATGGAAAGTTCAAGGTTCTTTGAACCTAGATACAGTGCTCAGAAATTTGCATACTCGTGTGTTCATTTACTCATTCAACAAATCCTTGTTGGTTGCCCCTGTGTCACAGTTACTGCTTCTAAATGCTGGAAACACAATATTGAGCAAACCCAGCAATGGTCCTTGCCTCACAGAACTTTCATTTAATGGGGGAGTATGCAATAGTCAAATAATCATACAAGTGTAAAAACTGCAATTGTAAAGGGCTGTGAAGGAGAGTTAAAGAATGGTAGGAGAATCTATAATAGGATATTTCAATGGTTGGGGGTATGGGTGGTCAAGGAAAGCTGCCCTAAGGAAGTGATCTCAGGACGAATGTAGGTTAATTAGGAGAATGGAGGGAAGAGCTTCGCAGACAAGGAAGAGTTTGTGCAAAGGCCAGGAAGAGATCAAAGCAAACATGAAGGACAGAAGGAAGACAGTTCCTGATGGACAGTGCTGGCGAGGTGAGGTTGGAGTAGTAAATGGCAGCCCTATTTTAATGTTAAACTTCTAGGAAGGGGTGTGGCTTCTAACTAGTCAGAGCAACTTGCCTTTAGCAAACATATATGTGTCTAAGTGTGTCAAGTACATCAAAGAACTGGTTTGTCCGTGGCAACCTTGATAGGGAATCCCAGCCTCCTGCCCTCCCCACATGCTCACCGTTCTTCAGCATCACACCTTCACTCTGACTCGAGGGAGTCAATTCCTGGGGGCTCTTGATATTGCTCAGAGCTCTGGAGAAGTGCTCATCCACTACACTGCTGATGTCCCCTTGGAAGTAGGTGAAAAGGACACACCGGGAATTCCATTCCGTCTTTATAGGCTTCTGCTTGCCTTTCGGCATCCGGATGGCATTCTTCTTCATTTCGTCTTCCATTGTGAGTGACAAAGGTGATAGCTGCGGACCAAAGGCAAAATGTCACTGGCACTATTTTACCAAGTGGCTTGGATGTGGTTTGGGTGAGCAGTAACCTTGGGCAAGCAGTTTGCTTCCACCAGGTACACATGCTTGCTGGGGCCCCAGGGAGCCACATAGCTCCCGAAGGTCAATGACAATGCTGGTGAGGAGCCTTGTCTAATCAGTGTTCAAGGCACAACACGTCAAAGCTCCATGAAGTGCTGAGAAGGGGCCTTCTCTTACAAATGAAAATGAACAGGCAACATGACTAGAGAGAGCATCAGGAAATGGGGAGGGGAGAGACGTTGAGGCCAAATAGCAGTACAACTTGCCTCCTGGAGAAGTGCCATTCTCCTAAATGAGTGAGCCAAGGTTGGCCCAGAACTACCTGTAGGCATGGGCTCCCGTGGAGAGCTTGACCAGGCAATCCAGTGGGTGCTTGACACTTTCAGCTTGCTTAGTAGGCATTGCTTTCCATCTTGACCATTCACACACAAGACATCAAATTTTCCTACTCCCCCTGATGCCTTAATCCAGGCGTCCCCAAACTTTTTACATAGGGGGCCAGTTCACTGTCCCTCAGACAGTTGGAGGGCCACCACATACTGTGCTCCTCTCACTGACCACCAACGAAAGAGGTGCCCCTTCCTGAAGTGCGGCGGGGGGCCGGATAAATGGCCTTGGGGGGCCGCATGCGGCCCACGGGCTGTAGTTTGGGGATGCCTGCCTTAATCTATGTAAGACTGTATCCCACACCTACCCGCATCCCATCTTAGAAACTAGCAAATACAAACAACACAATCTCTAAGGCCTCCAACAGATATATTCTGAAAAAAATACAGACGTATAAAAAACGTTTTTACACCAATGTTGCCAACATTGATGGAAAGCTCCTGAAAGGTTTTAAGATTGTCAGCCCTGTTCCCCACCATATCTTCTGTATCTAGAACAGTGACTGAAATAGAGTAGATGCTCAATAGTTGTGTACTGAACTTAGGTTCCATCATTGATATCATCATATCTTACCTTGAAAGTTCCTTGTGGGCAAAGGCTGTCTATTTGGATCCACACCAGGACCTGGCACACAGTGGGCCCTCAAGACATGCTGTGGCCTTCCTTTACCAGGAAAGTACCCTGTCAGGATGCTTTACCTTTGACCACCCAATCTGACTTGCCATGTGCTTTGGCTAAAGATGGATTTCATCTTTTCATCCTTGTCATTTAATGAAAATGACTAGAGTTTAATAGACTGTTTCTCTCTCTCTAGTTTATGAGATCCTTGAGAACAGAAAGCATTTTATATTCATTTATTTATTCCTAGCACCTAGCACAAAGTAGGTGTTCAGTAACCAGTGTTTCCCCTGGTTGACAGTTATGCTAAGCATAACCAGGTACTAGCTCAAAAATTCATCCATTGCACCCTTACTTTCAAAAACAAGTGAACAAGCGCTTTGAAAAACTATTAGTTTCTTATAAAATTAAACACATTCTTACTGTGTGATCCAGCAATCTCACTTCTAGGTACACATAGCCAAAAGAAATGGAAACTATGTCCACACAAAGACTTGTACATGACTGTTCACAGCAGCTTTCTTCATAGTAACCAAAAATGGAAAATACCCACATGTTTGTCACCAGAAGAATAAAGAAACTAGCTGTGACATATTTATACAATGTAATGTTACGCAACAAAAGAAGAAACAAACAACCAGTCTCCACATCGGCATGTATGAATCTCAAAAACATGTTGCGTGAAAGACGCCAGACACAAAAGGCCACATATTGTACATTTCACATACATGAAATAAGCACAAATAATCTGTGGTGACGAAATTCAGAACTGTGGTTGCCTGTGGGGTAGAGATTGAGAGATTGACTAGGAAAGGGGATGAGGGAGCCCTCAGGGGTGTTGGAAATGTCCTACATCTTGATGAAGATGAGGGAGATGGTTACTACATGAATGGATAAATTTGTTAAAACTCATCAAATTTTACACTTCAGATCTATGCGTTTCACTGTAGGCAAATTATTATTCTATTTTAAAAAAGCACATGATCTATTCTGATACTTGAAGTGATAGAAATGAAAAGCAAAGTGTTATGAATTATAAAGCAATGAGAAGCATGGAGGCAGTACTTTCTTAAAGCTGCCCTTGTGCTGCCCTTAAACCTACTCTGTGCCAGAAACTATGCATCTATCTTCTCCAATTTTTATAATCCTCAAATGAGATATTGTCCCCATTTTACAGGTGAGCAAATTAGGGCTTAAAGAAGGTGAAATAGACTGCCTAGGCTACACAACTAAGGAGTGGCAGAGCTGTGATTTCAATGTGTGTCGTCAATGTTTGTCTTACCTTCACTGTCCCTGATTGAGTACCTGGTGGGTCTAATAGTCCCTTCTCCTCTATGGGCCTCAGTCTCTGTATCTACCTCTTAATTCCTAGGGGGGGCTTTAAGCCAGAACCCTAAGCCAGCCATCTGGTTTCCTTCAGATAATGCAGCAGCAACTCCCAACTCCGTCTGCTCCCTCAGAGCTTCTCCTTGAAGCCTCTGCCTGCTGCTGGATGGGCCAGTGATCACCTTTAGAGGACTTACCCTCTCATTCTCAGAATTTCCAGTGGCCACTGCTCAAGATTCAGGCTTGACACAGCTTGCAATCTCTCTTTACTAACTCCACTTGAAACCAGAAGGGAAGGAGCTGATAGAACCCTAAGGACATTAGGGTCCCACAGCATGTGCCTAGTCTCCTTGGGTAGCACCCCCAGACTCCAGGCCAACTGGCTACAGTCAGGAAATAGTAGAGATGGAGAAAGTCAGAGGTGGTGTCTCAGCCCCTTCACCTTGGAGAGCTCAGACCACGGGCAATTGGGCATCCTGAATAATAAATTCAGTATTCACTGAATAAGTGCTACCTATGCCCTTTTTTCCTCTCCAAACACAACACACACAATCAAAAGGAAAGACATAAGCTACTTCTCTGGATCAGCACACAAGCAAGTCCCTGGGATGCACTTGGACCCCAGTGGAGAGAAAGTGTATTTAAGGAATATTAAAATTCTGAGAACTGCCATTGGCTTAGTCCTATGAAGACCTGCATCTCACTGTACCTCTTGAGAAACATGGGAAGCTTCATCCTCAAATGAGACCTCCATAAGGGGTCTCTTCATTCATAAGTTAATTGCTGGGGTGTATCTTGCCTAGGAGAAAGCTGGATTGAAGGGGATGTCAGTGAGCCTAAAGAAAGGCTGGGTGTCTCCCGGATAAGACGTTTCCATATCAGTGCCTGGCTTATAGCAAAAGCCTCTCATAGTAGACAAAACCCCAAGGCCAAGTTTTACCAGTGGTATTGCCAGAACGGCATAGTTACAAAACAACACGCAGTTTGCAACTTCTCCATCTCACAAGATATAAAGACACAAAGTGCTCCCTCAAATATTTCCCTCTTCTTCAAAAAAGAAAGAGAAAGAAAGAAAGAAAGAAAGAAAGAAAGAAAGAAAGAAAGAAAGAAAGAAAAAGAAAGAAAGAAAGAAGGGAGAAAATCATTGAACACAGAATCCCAAACCAGCATTTTGGCCAGACCTCTTACCACAGTCTGCCTGCGTGGACGCACTTACCACACTTCTCCAAAATGGTACCTAGCACTCTGGGATGGAGCCAGAAGTCAGAGGGGTTGGTTTGCAAACAATCACTTGGAACAAAATCCCCAAAGGGACCAGATTGTACCTGATTGAGCAAAGCATTTGAGGACTCCCCCATTTCTTCCCAGTTAAGTTTCATTCCTCCTCCCCAGAAAAAAATCCCCAGATTCTCTTACCTTAATTCTGGATCATCAACTGATTCTATGGCTGGGGAAAAGATGGCCAGAGCTGCCTGGCTCACTTCAGAGCAACTCAGTGCTTGCGGAAGCAGGAGCTGAGCATTTGTACCCCCACCTCCTTGTTACTTTCCGCCCCTCTAGCTGGGACTGTACAAGGCGTTTCCTGCTAGCTATCTATTAAGAATGCAGAAAATGCACTCCAACAAGTCAACCTGGTTGGGCACCTGCAGGAATGAGGAAAATGGTAGCTCTCTCTCTTTTTTTTTTCTTTCTTTTTGCATTAAAAAAAGCATTTTGCGAGATTGTCTCTTAAACTGGGAGGCCAATTGTTTGTCCAAATCTATACACATAGTCAATGACAAATGAAACACCAGTTTTGGGGTTTAGATCAAACTGATGTCACACCAGTCTCAGGAACTGAGAATCAGTTAGGATTATGTCTAGTTTTTCCATCTCTCTCCATGGGAAGAAAAGGAGAGCTCAGACCCCCAGGAGTCTGGACTTGTCACAGGCTTCCACTGGCCAAAGAGCGAGAAAGGACTTCTCTCAATCTGCAGTATGCAAAGCAATTCAGGGCAGGAGGTTTGGAGGAGGGGATCCCAATTCTCATTTATAAAGCCCTCAATATTACCTCAGTAAGTGGCACCATTATTCAGGCCCCAAATGCTGGAGCCATTCTTTGCTCCTCTCTTTGTCTATTTCATCAATATTAATTCAACAAATATTTATCGAACACCAACTGTGTGCCAGGCACTAGTCTAGGGGTTGTGTTCTATAGTGAACGAAACACACCAAATCCCCATCTTCATGGAATACACACACGTTATATGTGTGTATGTTTGTGTATATATACACATATGTACATTATATGTACAATGACAGATGGTGATAAGTACTATGGAGAGATATTAAGCAGGGTAGAGGAACAAAGAGTTGTAGTCTAGGTGTTAATTTATAGAGGGTGGCCAAGAAAGCATTTTCTGATAGGGTGACACTTCAGCAGAACCCTGAGGGGGAAAACCACGTGGATAGCTGCTTTCCTGATACCAGAGAGAACATCAAATGCAAAAGGTGAGATCATGCTTAATCTGTTCACAGAAAGGCAGGCCAGTGTGGCTAGAGGGGAGGGAGTGAGGGGAAAAGGAGATGAGGACCAGCTCACACAGACCTCACTGGCCACGCTAGAGCTTTTGGCATTTCCTGTAAGTGAGAAGGAAACCCACCAGGGGTTGGAGGAACACATCCACAAATCCTGAAAGTTCTACCTTCCAGATGCTTTACAATCTGTCCTTTCTCATCACCTTGCCAACACTCACTGTAGTCTAAGCCCCCATCATTTTTCCTCAGGACCACCACCACAGCCTCCTAACCGAACTCTTGACTTCCACCTTTACCCCTTTCTAAACCATTCACCCCAACACAGCCATAGTGATCATTGTAGAACACGGAATGCAGTCACTCCTTTTCCTACTGTTTTGGTAAGGTCACATAACATAGAGGCCAGACTGTCTGGCTTGTACAAGCTATATAACTTCTCTGTGGCTCTGTTTACTTAATTTTTGAAAATTGGATAATAATAGTACCTGCCTTATAGAACTACTTGAATGCTTTAATACATGTCAATGAAAAAAGTTGATCTCATTGGGGCAGAGAATAGATACCAAATGCTGGGACGAGTGGGTGGGTGGGGGGATGAAGAGAGGCTCTAAAGTACAGTTAAATAGAAGGCATTCTTCTGTATTTGTTTGGTAGCAAAGTAGAGTGTCTGTAGTTAGCAACAACGTATTATGTATTTCAAAATAGCTAGAAGACTTGAAATGTTTCTACACCTAAATACTCAAGGTGGAGGCTGGGTGCAGTGGCTCCTGCCTACAATCCCAGCACTTTGGGAGGCTGAGGTGGGAGGATCACATGAGCCCAGGAGTTTGAGACCAGCCTGGGCAACATGACAAAATCTCATCTCTACAAATAATTTAAAAAAAAAATTAACTGGGTATGGTGGCACACTCCTGTGGTCCCAGCTATTGGTGGGGCTGCGTATGGCTTGAGCTCAGGTAGTCAAACATGCAGTGAGCCTAGATCATGCCACTGCACTCCAGCCTGTGTGACACAGCAAGATCTTGTCTCAAAAAAACACACACAAAAACAAAACCAAACAACCAAACAAAAATACTCAAGGTGATTGTTACCTCAAATACCCTTACTTGATCATTACACAGTCTATGCATGTAGCAAAATATCACATATACACCATAAATATAGAAAGATATTATGTGTCAATTAGAAAAAAACTTCTAGTGGCTTCTCTTCTCACAGCATGGCCTACAAGGTCCCTGACCCGGTCCCTGCCTCTATCTCTGTTCTTATCTCTTACCACTCCCCCTTTACTCCACTCCCCTTCGCTGACTTCCTGGCTCCTCCTTGTACAGGCTAAACACCCTCTAGTCTTTACCCTCACTATTTGCTCTTCCCAGAATGTCCACCCCCGCCAGGCATTCCTGTGATGAGTTCCCTCACTCCATTCAAATCTCTGTTCAGTCACGTCTTCCTTCTTTAATTATTGGTTCTTTTAAAACTTTTAATTTAGGTACATGTGTAGGTCTGTTATACAGGTAAACTGTGTGTCATGGGGGTTTGGTGTACAGATTATTACACCACCCAGATAATCAGCAGAGTACCAGATAGGTAGTTTTTTGATCCTCTCCCTCCTCCCACCCTCACACAGGTCCCAGTGCCTGTTGTCCCCTTCTCTGTTGTCCCCCTCTTTGTGTACTCAGTGTTTAGCTCCCCTTCTCTAACTATCCTATCCAAAGTAGCAGCCTTTCAAAGTCTCTGGCCTGTTGCTCCACTTTGTGTTTCTTCATAGCACTTTTCACCTCTTGGTATCATATTGCACATTTATTTGTTTACAGTTTGTCGCCCCTTCCAAAATAATGCCTGGTCGGTAGTGAGGACTCAGTAAATATTTGTTGAATGTATACATGAGAAGTGGCAGGGGGAGAAAAATTATTCCAGTATGCACACAAGTAAATGTACAACTGCAATGGTGAGGACTCAATGCGTGGTGAAAGAAGAGCCTGTGATAAGGATCCCTGACTTAATCAGGGAAGATAGGGTACCCTCTCTGGGGAAATAATGTTTGAGCTCAGATCTGATAAGACAAGAAGGAGTTAGTCAAGCAGAGGAAGGGAGGAGTGTTCCCAAGGTTCTGAGGTGGTAGGGGTGTGGCAAACCTGAGTGACAGGAACAGAGGAAGCTATGTGATGGGACTGGAGACAATGAGAGAGAGCCAGTGGGAGAAAATCCTGGAAGGCAGACAAGAGCCAGAGCAAGCAGGGCTTTGCAGGCCATGTTGAAGAATTTTGTCTTCTTCCTAAGAATAGTATGAAGCTATTAAAGGGGTTTACGGAAATACGTGCTGAGGAGTGTGGGGAAGCGGAAGGGGTGAGAAGTGACATAATCAGATAGACATTTTGAAAAACACCAGGCTGGCTGCAGTGAGGAAAAAGGATTGAAGGAGTCAGTGAATGTGAGTAGACCAGTTAGAGAACTGTTCTCATTGTCTAGTGAAGAGATGACGGTAGCTGCATCTGGAGGTTGGGGAAAAGGAGTTGGAAGTAGAGAGAAGTGGATGGACTCAAGAGACATTTAGAATATAAAATTGTCTGTGTGCCGTGGTTCACACCTGTAATCCCAGCACTTTGGGAGGGCAAGGCAGGAGAATGGCTTCAGATAAAGAGTTTGAGACCAGCCTGGGCAACATAGTGAGATCTCAACCTCTACAAAAAAAATAAAATTAAAAGATTAGTTGAGCGTGGTGGCTCATGCCTGTAATCTCAGCTTCTCAGGAGGCTGAGGTGGGAGGACTGCTTGAGCCCAGGAGTTCAAGGCTGTAGTGAGCCATGATCACACCACTGCACTCTAGCCTCAGTGACAAAGTCATACCCTGTCTCAAAAATAAAATAAAATAAAATGGACATATTGGTACTAAATTTGACATAAGGAAGGCAGGGTATCAGGATAATTCCTAGGTTTGGGGGTTACATAAGTTGATTGAGGAGTATGCCTTTCACGGGGATATGAAACACTGGAAGAGTGTCATGTTTAGGAGAGGAAATCAAGACTTCCATTTTGAGCATGTTGATTTTGAGAGATAACAGACGTCAGTTATTCAGGAAAGGGTTCTGAGTTAGAGATATGCATTTTGCAGCCAGTTGTATATAGATGGCTGTTAAAGCCTTGGGCTCTAACTTACCCAGGGAGAGCAGACAGTGAAACATAAACAAGGATAAGAGCAAGCTTTGTGTAACTCCAATATTTACTGGCCACATGGAAGTGATGAGCTGGCAAACATTACTAATAAGGGATGGGCAAGGAGATAGGAGGAAAACCAGAGGGATGCTTGAATCCTAAAGCCCAAAGAAGAATGCATTTGAAGATGGATGAACTGATCACCTGTACCAAATGCTGCTGAGAAGTAGAAGAGTCTAATAAAAATGTCTGTTGGATTTAGCAGCATGAAGGTCATAAAGTGACCTTAGTGAGAAGTCTTTGCTGGAGTGTTGAAACCAAAGGCAAATTCAAATGGGATGAGAGAAGTGAAGAGGAAGAGCTGGTACTGACAATATGGAGAGTACTTTGCAGGATTTTGGAGGTGGAAGAGTGGAGAGACAGAAGAGAATCTGGGGATGGGATTAGGCGGTGCTAAATGAGGTTTTTGTTTCTTTTTCTTAAAGGGATAGGTATTGACATCATTAAAGGCCAATGGAAAGGATCCAGTTGAGAGCAAAAGGCTGAATATACCACAGAAAGAAGGTGTCATTAATAATATAAAATTCTGGAGAAAGCAGTTGGAGAGGATGGGATCAAAGTCCAGGTGGAAGGATTGGCTTTCAGTAGAAGACACTGTTCTAAGAGGAGGAAAGACATAGGATGCACACAGATATAATGGAGTTTCTAATCTTGGTACATGTGTCAGGCATTATTTATTTACTTATTTTTAGTGGTAGGGGAATTGCATTAGGAAGCAAGAGATCTTGACTCTAATCTGGGATCTTCTCCTAAATAGATTTTCAACCTTGGGGAAGTTATTTCTCATTCCTTTGCCCATTTTTT